GGGAGGCTGCCTTCGATCCCCTTATACATGGTACTATGCTTATTGTTCCCCGTTCCTTTCGGAGTGACAAGCTGCACCCCCTACAGCCTCACCTAGTCCTCCGGTTTAACAGTATCAAACAAGGAACACAAAACCATGAGCCAACCGGCTACAACATAATAATAAGCCCTCTGGCTATACCATAAAGTCCAGGCCCCACCTGGCTTTCCAGTAAAACCTCGTAGTCAGGATTCTTTCCACCTGCACATGGTGCAGCTACTCGTTCTATCAGTCTGCTCAGCTCCACTGCAGAGCTCTTGCTCCTCCAGCTGTCAGAAGGGAACTGCCAGCCAGGCTCCGGCCTGGGTTGTTTATAAGGGCCCAGCCCTGCCCCCTTCTGGTCACCTGACCCACATGGTTGCCCCAGCAACCGGCAGCTGAGCTGCCCTGGTGCTTGGCAGCTGTTCTTAACCCTTTTCTAGGCACAAGGCACCTACATGACCTTGTGACATGTTGAAAAAAACTTCATAGCATCTTTCTGCTCAACTATATTTACTAAAACTCTAAAAACTGAAGCAAAACATCCTTTATAGCAGAAATTGAATGAGATTTATTAGGGGTGTGCAAAGCAGGCCATATTTGATCAGGGACAGTGATTCGATTCGTTGATTTGGATCGCTGTCCCTAATTTGATTCAGCTGAATCCGAATCTGAAGATTCGATGCGGATTCAGAGAATCAGCAATTGGACATAGACACAACTTCAAAAGTTTTTTCTACTTACCTTGAGGTAGCAGGAACGGCTTGTGAACACTGTGATGCTGGGGTGCCTGGAGCATCCCACAGGTGTGCAGGGGGCCTCCACGTGTTCAGCGGCGAACCCAGAAATGGACCAGAAGTACTTCTGGTCGACTTCCTGATTTGCGGGGGAGCATGCTGTGGGGACCCTCTGCACCTCCCCAGCTCAGTGATCAGCCACAGGGGTCCCCAGGTGCCCCCCTCAAACCCAGAAGGCACCAGTCATTGAGCCGGGAGAGGTGTTGGGGGACCCCCCAGCACGTTCCCTGGCAGACCCGGAAGTGGACCAGAACTGCTTCTGGTCCATTTCCGGGTTTGCTGCCAAGCGCACTGGCAAGCCCCCTGCACTCCTGTGGGACATTCCATGCGCCCCAGCATCGCAGCACTCATGAGCCCCTGCTACCTAGATGTATGTAGAAAAAACATTTAAAATGGTCTCTATGTCCGAATCTCCAAATCTTTCTGAATCTCTCTGAATCAATTCGGAGGGTTCTGATTCAATTCAGAGAGATTAAAGGGTCCTCTGATTTGATTTGGATTCAGAGATTCGGCCACCGAATCGGGTCAAATTTCTGCCAAATCGAATCAGAGACTGAAGCTTTGCACAGCCCTAAGATTTATATATAATCTGTACAGTTCCAGTCACTGCATATTTCATTAAAAGCTGTGTTAAGCAAGCCTTATAAAAGGACAGTTATAATTAAAGGTTAGGGACAGAAATGACACATAAATCAGTATAAGTGATTGGAGACTGGTTCACATCTCCTAACACAACAGAAGTTCAGTGCACATAAACCACTTTCCAAATGGCCAAAGCCAGTTTAAGATAAACCTGGATGGATGTAGTATAAACTTACCCTATTTAGGTTAAATTGGTTTATTGAACTTCCATTCTAGATCCCCTCCAGATTCAAGTTAACTCATGGTCCCCCAGCATCCCAGGATGCTTTGCACCTCCCCTGCAAGCCACCCCTTGTAGGATGAGGAGGCTAGCAATGGCCCAAGCTTTCTGATCCAGCAGAGCAGGGAGGCATGTTCTAGCATTCCCAGTTTCTGGCCTGGGCCACTGCAAGCATGTGGCTGCATTTCTGGAATCAAAAGTGAAGTGTGTTCACTTGCTAATTGGTTCTGTCTACACAGCTTAGACTGACCTGCAAAGATTGAACTGATTCAGCCTCAGGCTCTTTGACTGTACTTAGCCAAAGTGTGCATGGTAAACTACTCAAAGCTGAATCAGCAATATAGCCTCAGCACTGATTTCTTGTGTGTCATGGGTAGGGGTCATGTCATATCTCTTTCTTCTTGGTACTCCCCTAAACGTGTGGCTGCTCTGTGAAGGGTTGCCTCATTGCGCACACTGGAAAATTTAAGGGCTTGGTATATGAACACTACAGCTATCTAGAGCTGTGCACTTCAGACTGGATTGTGGCTGACCCTTGTGGAAAAGTTAGGAAGCAGAAGATCACACAGGAAGTCTGCCTTTCTCTTTGCTTGCCCTGCATGTTGGGAAGCACAGGGATGTATCCCTCCATGTGCACACATCACTCCAAAGGGGGAGTACCCAGGAGCAAGTATTTTAGCACTCCATAGAAGAAGCAGCCATTAGCACATTACCCTATTGTACCAGAGCATTCCAGGAAGAATTCTTTCTTGTAAGATTTTTTCTGAAAATTCCCCTGGGAAAATGGATGTCTACTATGTACCCACCATAGCTGGAAAACCAATTCTAAACTTACTACACTTTGTTATAGGTTTTTTTATAGGCTGTACTAAGTTATATCTACACCAATTTGGTCAGAATACTCACAATGTACTTTTCCTCCATGAGGCTGTTTGTCTGTGATCCAAAGGAAGAAATCTGGAATTTAAGCTATTCAAAGAATGCTGAGGGTGGAAACAGATTTTATAATGGGAAATATGTATGTGTGTTTTATTCTATTGTTACTCAAAAATAGCTGTGCTGTATTTGCCCAGTTTTCTAAAATGTTTGGGTTTTTTTGTCAGAGACCAAGCATGGACAGTTCAGTAAGCGATAGTTTCAGAAAGTTCTAAGCAGTTGAAAACAGGGAGTCGAATGGAAATAGACTTACATGGTTTATTTTCTCTTCTACAGTTTTGGTGAAGGTGACAGAAATGCCTCCCCTCCTCCCTCACCGTTCTTTTCTGCCATCCTTGCTGCATTTCAACCAGCTGCATGTGATGATGCAGAAGAAGCCTGGCGTAGTCATATGAACCAGCTCATGTGTGATTCTGATGGGTCCTGTGCAGTTTATACCTTTCATGTGTTCTCCTCCCTGTTTAAGGTAAGACAACATAACTTAAAACCAGTGAGTTTAGATAAATGTGCTGACTCCCCAGCACATTATTTAGTCATGGTGGTGGTAGTAGTAATGGATTATCATTTATGATTGTACTTGTAATCTTATGTATTGGAAAATTGCCTGGCCACAGAATTGGCCACAGAATACACATTGTTGCATGCATGTTCCTTGGACAGTTTTTCTTTTAAAAAATTACCTTACTTTAAAATATACTTATGAAGTTAACATTTATGAGATGTGAACCAAGTATTAAGGAATAATGATTCTTTAATTCTGCAAATATCCTGAAATCAAAGCTATAGGATGGTGACATGAACAGTTTACAAGTGCCTGAATATACCTTCTCACCCTTCAGTTTATGAGACAGCTTGACCTGCTTTCATCGAGTAGTAAACTCCCTCATGTTTCTTGTGGAATAACGCACATGGGCAATTGCCATAAGTTTAGTTGACATGTCATAAATTCGCAAGCTGGCTTACCTTGTTTTAAACTTTCTCATAGTCCCATACCTTGAGAGATGCAAAATGTCACATTCATATCAAATAGTGTTTAACTTTGAATACTAAAGAAAACTGTTCAAATGTCACCATGGTTACATGTTCTGTAGCTGATCACTTTAGCAGCTATGTGCTCATTTCAAACTGCCTCATATACTGCCCTGCCAGTGCCAGAGCTCTGCTGACCCTTACTGAGTTCCTATATGCTTCAGTTCCCTTCTCTCTTCCATATTGGCAGCACAAAGCTCTGCATTATACCAAAAATAAACACACAAGCGTAGGGGGCAGAAAGCTATTACTTCAGCTCCCCTATGGATAATTTTTGTGACTAATTAATTTTTAAAAACTTTGCTTGCTTTTTTTTAATTTTTGTAAGGTGGCAGCAGAATCTCCAGGTGGCCTGTACAGAATACAGGCTCCTTCATGTAGAATTTAGTTCCATTTGGCCATAGAGGACAAAGAACCTTGAATTTTCACATTTCAGTATCATGACATGTCTGGCTACATGGCCATCCCCATATTATCTAGGGACTTTGACATGTGTTTTGTAGTAGATCCTTAAAATAAGAACTCATGCTTGGCTTCCTCTAGGCTCTGTCTCTGTTTCTTTGCTGCTACATATACTACATTCTGCTTTGAACACACTTATAGGTTCACTTTTCAAGCTTGGCCTTTCTAGTCCTTGTTTAAGCACTTGCTGGAAAATAGTAATTTTAGGCACTTCAGCATTAATTTGTGTACCCAGCTAGAGCACCCATGTTTGAAATTCAGTCCTGTGCTTTTTCATATTGCATATTTTAGTCTCTTCTTACCAAGTATGCCAGATGTAGAAGATGATAAGGTAAATGTTTGACATACAGGTGCTAAAAAAGATTGACAGTATGTTAACATGAAAACTAAAATATTAATAAGGTTATGTTAACTGTGACCCTTAAAATTACAGTTAAGGGAACTGTTTGTCTCTAATTGCAGGCATTGTTACAATGATACAATGATTAGTAGTTTACATACTTTCTTCTGTATAATACTCAATGCCAAGTATACAGCATAGTTCCCAAATACAATGTTTAATTATTATAACAAAGTTTGGCTAACAGTATTTAACATGCAAGGTGATGTGTAATTTCAAAATGGCATTTCCAAGTTAGAGATTAAAAGAGCAATAGTATGTTTCACCTCTTAAGGTCAAAGCACAGGGACATGTTCTTCCCCAAGTCTTTTTTTCTTAAGTTCCTAACTTGTCTGCATTTGCAGTGTTTTTGCACAATAAAACTCTGCCACAGATCTGCTCACTTAAAAAGACTTTTGACTCAGGCCAACAGGAAGTTTCATAAACAAGTCCAAACTGTGCTAGGCTTGCAGTCTGAAGAACTGCCAAAATATTTGTGTATGAAACAAAATTACTGTTTGGAGCAGCCTCTTAACCTAATATTTTATTTAGTGAAAGGACTTTATTTCCAGTAGCATCTGGAATCAGAGCTACCACTAGTTGTTTGACTGTAGTGTTTGCCCACAGCACAAAATCATTATTTAAGATTCCTAGGGTTGTTGGTTGTAGCTATGTTGGTTAAGGATGTAGGCGGACAAGGTTCTTTGGGTAGACATGATAGCTTTTATTTAACCAACTAAATAGTTGGAAAATTTGTTCTTTGCAAGCTTTTGGGCACAAACACCCTTCTTCAGGCATAGAGAGAGTCTGCTGGTGAAATGTGCATTCTCCTGGAAATTTTAATTTTTCAAAATTGTAAAGTATTTCCTCAGTAGAATGATGGAATCTCATTGGTTTCAAGGTAATCTTTGCTAAATTCCTGCTCTAAGATGGATCTTAGTATTTACGTTCATTCAGATCAAAGGCTGTAATGGATTTTAAGACTGACAAATGGGTTTATAATTGAGCTCCTTAATGTTTAATATGTTTGTTGTTGGCAATCATGTTTCTTTCCAGTTGAGGGAGGAGAATATCAGATCAAAAAAGGAAAACATTCTGAGAACACTTTTTTTCTATTTTTCTGTTAATACAAAATGAGCACAGATTTTATTGGCAAGTACTTTTCCATATAGAATTAGTAAACTCAGTACTAGCTAACAACACTGTTTTCAGTAGTCCTTTTCTACTAACTAATATTAATTAGTCATTGGCTTGAGGCCCAGAGTGTGAGAGATTATAGGTCTCTTTTTCAATTGCTTATTCTGGCTGGTGTAACTTTGAGTATTCTCATTATCCATAAAATGTCTCACCCTTTTGGCCTCAGTGATGTACTGATGATATCTGTCAGTATAATTTTGATAATTATATCTGCATGATTGTATTAATTCATTAAAGGTTCAGGTATCAATTAAATGGAAATCACTTAAATAAGTAACAGCAGTAGCATGTTCCTTGAAGACTAGGACAAAGGGCTCTTCTGGGTTCAGTGACTGCTAAGATATCAAACATCGTTGTAGGCAATAGTTCCCAAATGCAATTTGATACTATTGGAACTTTCCCAAGCAGCAGAGATGCTCTAGCAATGACGGGGGGGAAATTGCTTTCATAATTTTTCAGGCTGCTGTTTGGTATTGGAACATTCTTTACAAATGGCCACTTGACTTTGGATACTAACAAAACAATACCCAAATGGGCAAAAAATTATGTGTTGATCAACACTGATGATAAGCAAGGTCAAGAAAAAGCTACAAGAAAAACAATGATAAAAATGGTATTTCAGCAACAAATTGCAATTTCATTGCTAGATATGAATTTATAGCCATCCAGATAGAGAAACTTCTAAGTACTCTGTCCAATGTAATAATTATTGCCTCTCATCCCTCAACAAACATTCTCTTCGCCCTCATTTGTTGCATGAAGCAGGAATGTGTGCAATTCTGTTTACAAAGTTTATCCTGGAGAAAAGTATATGATAAGAACTATTTTGTTTCATAGAATATTCAGAAAAGATTCTGCTTCCTAACCTGTGATGCTGCCAGTTACCTTGGAGACAATCTGAGAGGAATAGGCACAAAATTTGTGAGGTCTTCTCAGATGCTGACTTCATGTTCAGAATGCCCCACTCTTTTTGTAGATGCTGAAACAGTAAGTATATTCCTATAAATGATCATGAATAATCTATCCATTGTGTGCCATATCAAGGAAACCAGGGTGACAAAAAGATTTTTGTTTGTTAGAGTCATCTAGTCATCTTTGTTAGATTCATCTAGTCTTCTATAGATAAGTGTTAGAGGCATTCTCCAGTTATCCCATCTCAAATCATCTCTGAAGGGATTCTCTGTTTATCCTATTTCCAGTCAGCTCAAGAATGTATTTATCAGGGGGACACCTGTCCCTTTGGATTTCTTACTCATAGCCCTGATACCCCTAGTGATTATAATCTTTTTTTTTTCTCTCTGTGGTCAACCAAACCTCCATTTATTCATGCTGTTTTATTAGAGACTGAGTTGCTAGCATTTTTTTTAAATAAGATGCATTTAGGAGTTTTTCTTTACAGTAATACAGTACTATTGCTTGTTAGTCCTAGTCTCAAAGTGTTACTGATATAACTGTTAGTTATAAGTGTGAGTTATTTTTACTAGTATATTTATATAAGCTCTAGTATGGATACACTTATACTAGTACAAGTCACCTCTACCCTTTTCCCATCCAGAACATAAATGCATCCATTCTTAGAAGGAGTTACACCAATATCGGTATTATTAATCTCTTACTATTTTCTAAATATAGAAGCCCTCACAAACCATGTTGAGGTTATTGGTTTTAAATCATTTACGAAGACCAGAGAATAAGAATGACCAAACTCTGACTTTTAGATTTGGATTCATCACTGTTTAGCAAGGTTACATCCAAACCTGAATTTTGGTGCAGTATGGTGTTACTGTAAACATCTCATGAACTAAACTCATGATGTAGTAGAGTTGATTTCCACCTAATTAGTTGCACAGCCCTTTTGGAGAACCTTGGAATATTCCACATTATTGGATGTGTTTTTTTTTCTTGCTCACTCGAAATTTTATTTATAATAGGTAAGCAAGTATGGAGGAACTGTAGAAGAGAACTTTTTTAGTATACACACTGGTGAAACTCCAAATCCAGATAGCCCTATTTCAGATTACATGTTAGATTTGAAATAATAACAACTTGGGGGCATCACATGCTTTGTTCCATTTGGAGCCCAAGTGCACTGTCCACACCAGTGGTTCCTTGCTTCCTTCCCTACAAGCTCCCTGTTTCAGAACCCTCTGCTTCCCTACTAACATGCTTTCTTGGATATAACATGCACTGTTTTTTCAAAAATCATCTCCTGGAAATTGGGGTGCACATTATAAGAAACCTAATATGGTAATAGAGTTTCTGCAGCCTCATGGGGGCCCGGGGTGGCAAAAAAACACTCTATGTGTTCTACAGGGAGTACCACATTAAACACACTGGCTCCCTAGCTGCTGCTGCTCAGTTACTTACTGCTACATACCAGTAATTTCAAAGAAGATTATTTTTCCTTCGTTCTGCTCTTCAAAAGAGGGGTGTGTATCTTTCTCAAGGGACGTTATATGCAAGAAAATATGATATTTCAGAGACTCCCTGCAACTCTTTTTTCCTCCTATGCCAGGGATCCCCCAGCCTCTCTCCACATCCCATATTTCTTTAGATGCTCTCATTCTCCTTTACCAAAGTCCACCATTCTTCCCTTCCCTCATTCCAGAAGCTCCATTTGCCCTCATACTAGAGTACTCTATTCTCCCCCTGACATATTCCAGAGGATCTGTGAGAGCCTCACTTTCCCCTGTATCTTCCTCCCCTCACCATTCTTAATTTCCTTCTTTCATTTCCCTTTCCCTTTCAAGGAGAGAATATTATGAAATTATATTGGGAGGATACTCAGGGCTGAAGTGATGGGGACATAGTTGTCTTCAAATGTGTTAAAGGCTGCCATCAAATTCTACTTCAATCCCAGTCACAGAGATGGCTGAAGCCATTGGCTGTGATAGCCAAATGATGAGGGCTCCATATGACCCATTCCTGTTTCATTTAAGTCAGTAGGTTACTGTCCTCTGATGCCTAGAACATTACCTGAAACTGGAATTGGTCAGCTCTACATTCATTAGCTGCTAACCTAGAAGCAGCACAGCGAAGTTTCTGAAGCAGAGCTAATTGCCTCATTTGTAGTAGTGCACCAATGTGGCTACATTGCTTCTGGTTCAGGAGCTACTGCTGTTGTACTAATGGCTCTAATGGCTTTATACCCCGTACTAGTCAGCTCTCACTCTGGCTCTGGTCATAACTCCAGCAACCAACCACTACCCACTGTGGATGGGATCAAAATAAAGTTCTGGTTCATACCAACAACTGGTTGCTGGAACTACTGACAAGATGGTGGCATAAGTGGTGCCCAACCTTTCGGGGCTGGATGAAAAGCACAGGGTCAGTCCGTGGGCTCAGTCCACCAGGCAGCTGGCAAGCAGGCTTAATGCAGCACACAGCCCCACTCTGCATACCAGATCAGGCCCCAGCCCTGCATGCTAGATTGGGCCTGCTGCCCCAGCCCTGCAGGCCAGCCCAAACTGGTACCTAGGACAATGTCATCTGGCCATGGGGCTTGGAAATTTGGTGATGTGGAAGTAATGGCAGCATTAATTGCCACCACTTCCCTGCCGCCAAATTTCCAGGTCTGTGGGGAGCCCCATAGGCCAGATGACATGGCTGTGGGCCAGAGGCTGAGCACCATTGGTCTAAATGTTTGTTGTTTCGGAACTGTATTTTTAAACCTTAACTCCACTAGGATTTGGCTTTCACCAGTACAGCTAGCATCATGATAAAGTGTCAGTATAACATTGTGATTGCCAGTGGTACACCTTAAAGTGCTTTTTGCAGGGTCTATCATGGTTTCTACTTTACTGATATTCCTTAATAGTAGAATTCATTGGCTTTTTTTTTTATCATAATGTTTCCAGCTTCTCTCATGTGGCCTTCTTGAAAAGCTGAAATTCAGTGTTTTAGAACTACAGGAATATTTGGATACATACAACAACAGAAAAGAAGCAACTCTTTCAGTAAGCAGATATTTCTTTGCTTTATTGCCCAATGTATTCATATGTTAAAGCAGGGCTGTTCAACTTCTATGCAGCCAGTGGCTGAATGCCCCATGGGCCACACCAGCAGGGGTTGTATCAGAGTGAGCCACAGGTCTCTTGGACCTCGTGCACATAGATGTGACCCCCTCCTCCCCTTCCTGCTACACCTTGCACCCATGACCCCTTCCCATTGCTGCAGTGCATGCCTGTGCAGGCCATTCCTGCATACTTCCACACAATACACATACCCCTTCTTCTCTTCCCTGCCCCCCACTGTACCGTGCATGCTGCCCCAGGCTCCCCCTCAGCTCCTCAGGCCATGCCTGGGTTGGGGGCAGACAGCAAGCAGAGCACAGGGGAGCATGAAGACTCCAGCTGCTATTGGAGCAGGAATGATGGGGGCAGCAATGACAAGGCAGGAGCCCAGGGGCTGCAGCTTAACTCCTCCTAGGCCAAAGGTAGTTTACAGGCTGCCAGCTAGATGGCCCTGTGTTAAAGCATTCTATTCTGCATTTTGATATGATATCTGTTTAAAAAACTATTTAAATATAAATATTGGATTCAGAAGTGCCTACTTGTATCTCCCTCTATTTTAGAAGTTATAACACAATAAAAACTGTTTTATCTTGCTTTATTTCAACTATATTTGGATCTCTAGCTTTTCAAGTTCCTCCTGTCTTTTTAATAGTAATTAATATATTTATTTGCTTTGTTTCTACAGTGTAAGCCCTAATACAACTCAGAAACATAGCTTTTTAACTCAATCCGCTAAGAAGCAGAATTTCTTAGATTATGTCCAGTCACCTAACGTAACACGTTTCTCAACCATTACATTGTGAGATTTAAAATATCTTCTTTAAATCTAGCTAATCTAAAAAGATCTAACATTTTCTTTCTTGGAAAACAGTGGCTTGCAAATTGCAAGGCAACGTTTGCTGGGGGCTCAAGAGATGGAGTTATTACTTGTCAGCCAGGGGATTCAGAAGAGAAGGTAATAAATGAGCAGTGCTATTTTATTTCCTCTAAAGTGCCATTCATGAATTATTTCTTAATTGCCTAGGACACTATTATGCTTTCCTCCTTTATAGAGTTTGGGGACAGTCTTAATTCTTGCACTCATAAGACTGATATAATTACTGGCACAGGCCTTATCAGAGGAAAAGGATGTGTGAGACTTTGGCATTATAACCTCTTTTGTACCATTGAGCAGAGCACAGCAAAACTGTGTACAGAAAGTACAGCAAACAGTTTCTTCAACACCACTGGAAGGGAAAATTGGAAAGTGTTGCACCTTTTTTTCTTTCCATTAAATAGAATGATCATGGCTAAGCTAGCAATGCATTTTTTTAGTTTTAGACCAAACATTCTGACTGTAGATGCTTACCTCTAAAAGACCAATTCCAATCTTCCTCACAAGAGAAACACAAGAAAAAAAGAACGATAAGACAAACTTAAGGAGTTGACCCTGCAGACAGAATGGAACTGGAACCTTCTCTTTCCCTGTGTTTTGTATATATTTTTAAAAATTAACATTTTCAGAAGCTTTGCCAAGTTTTAGCCAGTTTTTCCTCAGACACATTTTTATAGTTTTGTCCATTTTGTATCTTCATTCATTTTCTCTTTTTATTGATTCATTTTTCTCTCGCTCTTCCTCTTTTATCCTTTCTCATTACCCTCTGCTTTTGCTCTTTTTCACTTCATCTTCTTCCCCTTCTATCTTATTTCTTCTTTTTCTGTTCTGCCGTGATTTTTGCACATGTGCATTTGCCAAGCACATAGGAGCAGATTAAAACTACGTTCAAGTTCTTTTATTTCAAAAGCCTTAGGTATTTCCCCTTATGTTTTGGCTATCTTGACACTGTTTGAATTAAAGCCTATGGAAGGATCACAAGCAATGAAAAAGCTGTTCAGCCTCCTCCATGTAGCACCTGTGCCAGCAAAATTGCATGAATACTTTGGTAACGCTGCATACACCTGCCAATTTTGGGGCTATATTTAACAAAGCTACAAAGATTGGCCAGCTCTGAGGTCATACCTTGGCATACTGTAAGTAAGCTATGTGCAAAATTAAGAAAAAATACAGAGATCCAATTAATAAAACTGAATCCAAATATGAAATAAAATTCTGTGGAGAGTTATTTACTAGAGTATGCTCAATTAGTGTTTCCACCCTTCCCTCACATAAAGGAAACAGTAGAGCTGTGTGGAAGGTTCAGTCGCTGATTCGATTCAGTGGAGAATTCAGCCCGATTCAGCGGCTGAATCTCCAGATCTGAATCAAATCAGGAGACCATTTAATCTCTCTGAATCAAATCAGAACCCTCCAAATCGATTTGGAGAGATTCAATGATTCGGACATAGACACAGCTTTAAATGTTTTTTCTACATACCTCCAGGTATCAGGTGGCTTGTGAATGCTGAGATGGTGGGGCAGATGGATCATCCCATGGGAGCGCGGGGGGGTCCCCAGCACACTCAGCAGTGGGCCCAGAAGTGAACCAGAAGCACTTCTGGTCCACTTCCAGGTCCACTACAGAGCGCCCAGGTGCCTCCTGGGTCTGGGGGGCACCTTGGGACAACCTGTGGCCGATCACTGAGGTGGAAGGATGGGGGGCGAATCCCCACCTGCTTGGCAGCAGACCCAGAAGTGGACCAGAACTACTTCTGGGTCCGCTGCCAAGCACATGGGGGGGCCCCTCCCCACACTCCTGTGGGATGCTCCATCCACCCCACCATCTCAGCATTCACAAGCTGCACCTGGTACCTTGAGGTATGTGTCTATGGCTGAATCACTGATTCTCCGAATCAGCATCAAATCTTCAGATTCAGATTAGGCCGAATGGAAATGGGACAGTGATCCGAATCAACGAATCAAATCGCTCTCCCCTGAATCAGGCCGAATCTGAATCTGAATCAAATATGGCCCGCTTGACACACCCCTACTAAACAGTGTTTGAGAAAAATGCTCTTACACTGATGATCTGAGAGCTTACATGGTCTTAGTTCCTTTTCTCAAAAGTGTGATCCTTGATCCCATTTTACATCTTGTAACTTGTTACTCTTTAAAAAAGGAAATAAAGCAGTAGGGGACTCCAAATAATATACAAATGAAATGGGATATGAATTGGGTACATATATTAAATGGCTAAACTATTTAAAGTTTGAATGTCATGTTACTCTTGTGTTTTATTCACTTTAATTAGGTATTCTCTATTTCAGAGTTAATGTGTGTGTATCTTGGGAATCCAGAGTTCGTCCATGAATTACTTAATAGAATGAAAAGAAGGGTTTCTCACTGCTGTAGAAATCCCTATTTTCTTTGACCAATAATGTTCCCTCAGCACAACATTTATTATTTCTTGGCTGTTAACAGGATGGGAGGTCTTTTGATTTATATCAAAAGACCTGTGTGTACATACATACATATACATTTCTCTTCTCTATCCCAGTCATTTTTCCATTTGGTCACAAAAAGACCTTTCTTTCCCAACAATCTCTCTTTTCTTTAGTCACCCAAAGTAAAATAGGAGCAGAGATCTAGGGAAATGTGTGCTGAGGAAGTGTCATTAGCAAAAGTGACTGCTATAAGAAGTAATATATTTTCATGCATTTCCTCCGCTTCTCTGCCTGAGCTTGAAAGGATGTAACAACCCAGGCACACAGTGAAGAAAGTGAATTTGTACTTAAGCACAGAGTAATTATTGGAAAGACTGGGTGTCCTGTAGGGGGAGCTGAAGAGGAAACTATATAAACTGTTTAATCCTTCTTGAAGATTAAACTCAGGGCCTGGTTGTTACTTGGGACTCACCTGACATATGAATACTGCTTAAATTAACCCTAACGATAATAGATGGAGTAGTAAGAAATATCTCATTCTGCAGACAGTTAGATTATCAGATGCATGTAACACCCTACCTGGAAAAACAAAAGTAGGAATGTGTATTCCTAGCCTACTCTGCAGAGAAGAGACTATGGATGCTGACAGAGGTTCAGTTAAAGGCACTATGGGGTCTGATCTGCAATGCCAGCAATTGCATCTCCTCCCATGTCACACATGCATGGCAAGAAGTGCAACTGAAGAACCAGGAATCAGATTCTAATTGCTCCCTACAGCGGGTGCAGGGGGAGCCCAGGATCCTCCTCCACTGACAAGTAGCAAGCTGGCTGCCCAGTATTCCCGTGGCTCAGAACACCAGTCAGCTGACTCAGAGCACCAGTGTAGCGTTCCAATGTGCTCCTGTGGCTGGGAGCATCAGTCAGCTGATCAGCGCTGGCCACACATTCAATTTAAGGTGCACAAGAACCAACCACAAAGTTATTACATTTATTTTGTGTAATAACTTAGTGACTTATTCCCTTTTTTTTGTGCTATTAATTGCATGAATGTGTAGCCAGGTTACTATTTAAGACGTGATTAACTGGTCTTGGTCCCTTCTAAACAGGGAATTCTTTAACTAGTAGTCAAATTCTTCCGTTGCTTTCCCTGAGCAAGAGATGTCTTGAAGCTTACATTTTCCTTGACAGTGAATGGTGATAATTCAAATAAATATTGGCATCCTATAAAGCCATTTAATGTCCCTCATTTGAAGATGCAAGATCAGTGTATAACTTTCTCCCATTCTGCTTAGCCAAAGTATGTGGCTTTGAAATTTGAAAAGTAAGTGGAATAAGTGCCCAAAACTGTTAAGTGGGTTTTGTAAGGTACTCAAGCTGTTAGCCAACCCAAACTAAATTGTACCCTACATGGGTTCACACTAGTGTTCCAGTTTGTACTTTGTGAAACAGGGCTTCATGTAGCTTCAGGTTTAGCTATTTTATGTGAATCAGGCCTGCCAGTGAACCTAAGACTAGAAATCTAGCTACAGATTGACAGCGAGGCAAGGCAATATCAAGTCTCATTGTAAACTATGCAAAATGTGACTTCTAACTGACACTAATTAATTCTACTGGATTGGCCACATAAAGGTCCATGATATGGTTGTTACTAATGAATTATTAAGATCTGGAATTAAGTCTCAAATGCAGTAAAATTCATTACAAATCTAGAACCTGAACTGGGAATTAAGCCCTCCTTGCTACCTGGCTATAACTAGGTAGCAAGCCCCTGCAGAGAGGGAACAGGAAGGTATCCAATGTGCAACTATAGATTGAGGAGTTAGCACTATACCTGAACAACATCCATTTAATGCTGAAGGCTCACGTGTCAACAGTATTATTATACTGTGCAACTCTTCTATGTCCATAAAACCAACTTGAAAGTAGGTGCTAGGGGTGATCCCAGAACAGCCTGACTGGCAAACATCTGGCTCTGGAGTGAATCAGCGGACTTGGATGGGTAGGACATGCTCAGCAAGTACTGGCAACTGCAGTGATACAGACAAGCCCTGGGAGGCCGTGTAAGTGTGATCATTCCACTTGAACCAGTTAAAGGGCAAGGACAGTTAAATGAAATCACAGGTAATATTTTTCCCTCTCAGCTTCAAGATGAAGAGCTGAAAGTTTTATCCAATTATAGGGTCAAATTAGCCATCTCATTAACCAGGGAGTTTGGAGAATATTTATTTAAAACTAGTATATTTTCTTTCAGTTTTTCACATGATGCAACTCCCTCTTTTCTTTTCTTTTCTTTTTTTTTT